TGGACATTAAGGCCCCCCCCCCCTCCCCCCTTCACCCTTTAGTGCTTAGGACAAAATAAATCAACATGAAATCCAACCGGATGAAATTTGGCAGCTCCATGACCAACCCCAACCCCAACCCAACCACAAACCCCCCCAAGATCCCACCAGACCCACTATGTGGTTGGATAATGGGATCCAGAAGGAAATTAATTAATTAATTAATATCAAATCAAATCAATCCATGAGGTATTTGTGACCTTAACGAAACCAAAAGCTTTTGTGTCACCGATGGTGAGCCAAGCCCTGGTTGGTGGGACCATCATGGGTCACCTTCAACCCAACCACAAACCCCCCCAAGATCCCACCAGACCCACTATGTGGTTGGATAATGGGATCCAGAAGGAAATTAATTAATTAATTAATATCAAATCAAATCAATCCATGAGGTATTTGTGACCTTAACGAAACCAAAAGCTTTTGTGTCACCGATGGTGAGCCAAGCCCTGGTTGGTGGGACCATCATGGGTCACCTTCCACCATGGGACGTTAATTAAGGACCTAATTGAGCCACGAGCCCTCAGCACCCTCACTAAGAACCCCTCGTTTCATTCACCCCATTGGTTTTGGAGTCCAGGATTAGACCTTGAGAGATGTTTTAAGCTTCTTTGCAACCCATGATGGTGGAGAAACCCCATGGAGATGCTGTTGAGACCATGGACATGGGTTGTCTCAGGAAGAGGGAAACCACTTAAAAAATAAAATAAAATAAAATAAAATCTTCTGCTTCACCAAAAAACCTGATTTTTCACTTTTTTGTGAAGAGCTGAGTGTGGAAACCATCAGTAGAGAGGTGAGGAGGACGTTCCTACAGCCAAGAACATCACCACTCTGGTGTCTTGGATGATGGAGAAGGTCTTCATAGCAGCCACGGAGGTTCACAAAATATTTCCCACCCCCCCCAAAAAAAAATCTCTCAGATTAAAAACCAGCCCCAGAGGTTGAAGGTCCAGAACCAGGTAGAAAACGGGCCAAAGCAGAAGATCCTTTGGGACCTGATGGTGCTTGAAGACGCTGGTGAAGAACACGTAGTAGAAATTAGCCCTTGAGTTGTGGCACCCAAACGCCGTCTCCTTCCTGGCCGTGTCACCGTCCGCCACCGGCTGTGCCTTCTTGGGGGGGGGGATGCTACAAGGATCTGGGTTTCAGGGATGAGGAGAAGGAGGAGGAGAAGGAGGAAGGGGCTCAGCCCACCTCAACGTGGACCAGAGGTGGAAGGTGGGTTGGTCAACAAGTAGGTGGTGGAGGTGGACATGGGTGCTGCGTCCCGGCGCCCACCTCAGTTCTACCCTCGAGCCGTGGCCTCCCTGAGCCCCACAGAGATGGGGAGGATGAGATGGAGGGGTGCAGAGAAGGTCCTCAACCCCTCTCCATCCTTCTTCAGCTCACACGGAGGTCTCCGACTGCAACCTCATGACGAACTTGTGTGACTTGGGGTCTACAAACTCTTCGGAAAGTTTGAAGAAAGGGATCTTCTTGGTGCTCACCACCAGGCTGAAGTCCTGGCGCTTCAACACAAAGACCACCCCATCTTTCAGGCCGTTTGTCACCGGTTCCTCACTGACCAGTGTCCACTGCTTGGCCAACCAACGGTCCTTGTGGTACTGGATGGTGGGTCCAGCTGTCAGGTACCGCTCAAGGAACGCCTTTGGAGAAGACAAAGGACATGTGAACATCAGAACATCACCTTCTCATGGCTCAACCTATTGTTTTTTGCAGCTTCAAGCTGCTCAGCAGGTCCTGCAGGAAAAACATCTCCACTCAACTGGTTCCCATCATGGTGTGTTGATCCCTTGGGGTTACACCTGCTTTTCTGGCTCTTGTCCCCCCCAAACCCTTTCTCCTCCTGGTGACATGGTGGGGACAAAAAACCCACCTAAGTTCTCACCCTCTAGGCCAACTTGGAGGCCCATCCCACCTTGTCGTGCCCCCCTGCTGACATGGTGGGGGACAAAAACCAATCCACCCAAGTCTTCACCCTCTAGGTCAACCTGGAGACCCACCCCACCTTGTCATGCCCCCACACACACCTTGGGTGTCATGTCGTGGGTGATGCAGAACTCGAGGTGCTGCAGGATGCTCTCCATGGTGTGGTAGGGTTGCTGCTTGGTGGTACGTAGATACTTCTGCATGGCCCGAGCCATGGAGGCAAAGATGGCTTGAGCTGCCTCCCGTGGGTCCATGATCTCCCGTGGGTTCTTCTGATCCTCTTCCTGCAGCCGTTTGATGTGGGTGAAGGCTTCTTCCACTGCCACCACCAACCTGTCAGGAGGAAAGCCATGGAGGTGGCTACAATGGGACAGAATCTGGCCGTGGGCAGGAGATCCTTTGGGGTTGGTGGGAAGCCACTCGCCACCTGCCTACCTATGGATGGTAGGAACCCAACTTCCACCCCAAAACAATTTTGAGGCAGATCTGGTTGTGTCACACAACAACAACCAGGCTTGGGAAGTTCTTCCTCAAAGCATGGAGGACACCTTGTCATGAAGGTGACAACAGAATGAATCATAGAATGGTTTGGGATTGGAAGGGACCTTAAAGCTCATCCAGTTCCAATCCCCCTGCCATCAGCAGGGACACCTTCCACTAGACCAGGTTGCTCAAAGCCTCATCCAACCTGGCCTTCAACACTTCCAGGGAAGAGCAGCCACAGCTTCCTTGGTCAACCTGGGCCAGTGTCTCACCACCCTCATGGTGAAGAATTTCTTCCTCACATCTCATCTCCATCTCCCCTCTTTTCATATCATATCATAGAATCCCAGACTGGTTTGGGGTTGGAAGGGACATCAAAACTCCTCCAGTGCCATGCGCCAGCAGCAGGGACACCTTCCACTAGACCAGGTTGCTCAAAGCCTCATCCAACCTGGCCGAGAACACTTCCAGGGAAGAGCAGCCACAACTTCCTTGGTCAACCTATCTCTCACAACAACCATTTCTCCTGTTACCACAACCCAAGGAGATCATGGGGATGGGGACCTCATGGGACACCTGATGTCACCCAGAGCCTTGTCCCCACGTACCTGGCGCGGCGTTTCCGCACCCTGCGCTCGTGTTCTGCCTCCTCGTAGTAATACTCGTTGTGGCTGTTGTCACGTCTCCGGGCGGCCGCCGCGATGACGGCGCGAGATTGACCGGTGGAGTTGTTGGTTGAGTTTTCTGTGGGGTGTTAAAGAAGAATTGAGGAGTTGTGGGGTATCTGATGGGACCTCAACCATCAGGTATCTGATGGGACCTCAACCATCGGGTATTTGATGGGACCTCAACCATTGGGTATCTGATGGGACCTCAATTAATGGTCAAGCTGTGGTGATCCCACTGTGGGGAGCTTGAGAGGAACGTCAAGAGATGAAAACACAAGGATTGGGGAAGGGAAGGAGGAGAAGGAAAGGAGGAGGAAGGAGAAGGAAGAGGAAGGAGAAGGAAGAGGAAGGAAAAGGAAGAGCAAGGAGGAGAAAGGAGAAGGAAGAGGACGGAGAAGGAAGAGGACGGAGAAGGAAGAGGAAGGAGAAGGAAAGAGAATGAAGAGAAGGAAAGGAGGAGAAGGAAAGGGAAGGAAGGAGAAGGTGGGAGAAGGAAGGAGAAGGAAGGAGAAGGAAGGCGGAAGGAAGGAGGAGAAGGAAAGGAGGACAGAGAAAGGAGGAGAATGAGGGAGAAGGAAGGAAGGAGGAGAAGGAAAGGAGGAGAGGGAAAGGAGAAGGAAGAGGAAGGAAGGAGAAGGAGGGAAGAGAAGGAGGGAAGAGAAGGAAAGAAGAGAAGGAAGGAGGAGAAGGAAGGAGGAGAAGGAAGGAGGAGAAGGAAGGAAGAGAAGACAGGAAGAAAAGGAAGGAAGAGAAGAAAGGAGGAGAATGAGGGAGAAGGAAGGAGGAGAAGGAAGGAAGGAGGAATAGGAAGGAGGAGAAGGAAGGAGGAGGAGAGGGAGCAGAGGAGCAGAGGAAGGAAGGAGGAGAAGGAAGGAGGAGAAGGAGAAGGAAGGAGGAGGAGGAAGGAGCAGGGGCAGGAGCAGGGGCAGGAGCAGGGGCAGGGAGCTCACCCTCGCCGAGGGAATAGACTTTAAAGCCGGCCGTTTTCTTGGAGAGGACGGACTTGGGCAGGTTGAGGAGGGCGGGGTTGAACACCGGGAAATCCTGGTAGTAATTCTCCAGGATCCAGACGGCCGCTCGCTGGATGCTGCAGGGAGAGAACACGGGGGACATGGGGGACACGGGGGTCAGCGGCGCCGAGGGAGGGGACACACAGCAGGGACAGA